CTTAGTAGCTCGTATGCACTTGTGTCACTGGCACTAATCACTTTTTGTTCTTTTTATTTCTACATATATAAAACTTTTTAAACATCAAATGACAGTGCCCATTAAACAGTGGCAGATCCAAGTATAATGTTCATCCAAACAATGAAAGTGGTTAAAATCCTTAATGGACATTAAAGTGGTTCTAAACCCTCCCGTTTTTTTGCCTATATCTACTGCTATCAAGCAGTAGATATAGGCAAACAGTTAAAAAAATAAAAACAACGCTCAAACAGCGGTTTAAACGTACCTTTTTTTCTTTGCGCGCTCCCGCGCCGAGAATCAGGAGCTGCTCGTACGCAGCAAAGGATCTTGGGGCATGCGCAGTTCCGATTCTCGGCCGGGAGACGAGCCGAGACGCAAGGTAAGTCTATGGACGAGTGCTCCCGCCTGCAGACACCGCTGGATCGGAAGTGCCTGCAAGCAGAGAGGTGTCAGCGCTGGATCGGAGAACCGCCGCATTGCTGGAGGGACAGATGAAAACATGGGGAAAGAAGAAGATGGGAATAAAATACATTATTTAAGGTAAGTGCTAACATTAACATGGGGGGAGGGAAACATTTTTTAACTTTAATGTCACTTTAAGGGGTGATTCACTAAAGAGCCCAATGATATAGCCGAAGTTTCAGCTAATCCTTCAGGTCACATTGGCCACCGGAGTCCTTCGGTTCAGCCGAACCAAAGGGCTGCTGAACGTTCACAATAGCCCGTAGAGCAGCCAAAGGCACCTGAACAGCTCAGGCCGAACGCATATGCCTCAGCTCGGGCGAGTCAAACACACAGCCGAAGCGGGAAAAATGGCCTGCTGAAGCAGACCAGACCATTCTCCCCACAAATGTAAACAAACAAAAAAAAACAACACAGCGTGCGGTTGCCCTTCCCATTCATACCAGACCCTTTAGATCTGGTAGAAATGTTAGGAGGCACCCCAAGTAAAAAAAAAAAGTGTGGGGGGTTCTCCCCAAAAGTCTAACCAGGCCCTTTAGGACCGTTAGGAATTTTAAGGGGGAACCCCACCCCCAAAAAAGGGGGGAAAATGTGGGGACCCCTTAAAATTTCCAACCAGACCCTTAATGCAAGCACAGGCATGGTAGGGCAGGAAAGGGGGGTTGGGAGAGTCACCGCCCCTCCCCCCATACCAGGCCACATGCCCTTGGCATTCGGAGGGTGTTTTTCCAGGGCTCCCCCCTGGAAAGTCACCTTGTCCCCATGCTGGTGAGGACAAGGGCCTCTTCTGCCACAACCCTGGCCCGGTGGTATTTGGGGTCTGCGGGCAGGGGGGTTTATTTTCATCGGGGTACCCTTTAATAAAGACAGTACCCAGATTCTGCCCTCCTCCTTGTGAATGAGTAAGGTGTTAAAGTGAAATGTAAATAAACACACCACACTTTTAGAAAAAAACCTTTAATTGAAAAAAAAAAAAAACTTTTTTGACAAGTTCTTTAATTAAAAAAGAAAAATCCCAAAAATTGATCCACCAACGTAATCCAAAGGTCAATCACAATGTCCAGCGTTGTCCATGAGGACAACAAACAAAACCTGATGCCCACCAACCTGTCCGCACCCAACGAACTGCCACCGCAAACTGACCGGTTTGACAGGTTGCGGCAAAATGTAAACAACTAGGTGGAGCTAGTGGTGACATCAACAATGGCTCCGCCTATTTGTTGACCTTGTGTCGGCAGCTGTCAAATGGGTCTGCTAAGGTCCCGGGCGAATGAAAAAAAAATGGGCAGAGTCAGCTGTGGCATCATGGAGGGCTCTGCCTATTTGTTGTCATTCAATGAAAGGCCACTGTCCTCAAATGACTTGAGGACAGTGTCCTGTCATTGAATGACAATAAATGGGCAGAGCCCTCCATGATGCCACGGCTGACCCAGCCCATTGTTTTTATTTGGTCGGGACCTGAGAAGACCTGTTTGATAGCTGCCGACACAATGTCAACAAATAGACGGAGTGAGCGGTCATGTCACCGCTAACTCCGCCTAGTTGTTGACAATGTACTGGCATCCATCAAACCTTTATTCTGCGGCGGCAGTTAGTCAGGTGCAGTCTGGTCAGTGGTGTCAGGTGTTTTTTAAAATTTTGATGAGTTGGATGTGTCGTGGACAACGCTGGACATTGTGACTGACCTTTGGATTTTGTCGGTGGATCCATTTTTTATATTTTTGGAATTTTTACTTTTTTATTCAAAGAATGGACAAAAACTTTTGTTGTGATTTTTTTCCATGAAAGGATTTTTGCTAAAAGTGCGATGTGTTTATTTACATAAGAAATTATGGACACCGTCACTCCTAAGTAGAAAAACGTATTTTATTGACGTGTTAAACCGCATGTAATCATACATGGAATAGATCGATAGCTGATTGTCCCTGGATGCATCTATCCTGCATCCAGGGACATTCATCCATCCCAAACCACATCTAATAGTATTATATAGGACAGATACGGTCGTAGTTTCCACTGAAGTTAATGAAAGGGTTACTGCGGCGGAATCTGTCAGCTGCAGTCTGAATGGGGACAACTTGAATTTCCAGACATCTCAACCTGTAAAACTAATTTCAGGGAGGGCCCCCCTCCCTTGCACATGGATGGGGGGTGGTGGGGTTATGTATAGTGCAATATAAAAGAGAAAGCCATATACTGTATACTGTATATATATTTAAAGGGTTCTTTTTAGGTCTAGGGTAAGGCGAAAATAGTATCGCACTCATTTACTATTTTTCTTTTGTGTGTGCTCTATTTTTTTGAGTTTTAACAGTTATCTTACTATGGTATATTTTATCTTCTTTTGAGGTTTACATTTTATTATTGCTGGCACCACTTGCCCCAAAAATATGGTGCCAAAACTGTTGTGTCTTTAACCTTTGTACAGTTTGAATCACGATTCATCTGCATTGGATCTTTAGTAGGAACTATGAAAGAAAGCACTAAGTAAAAACAACTTAGAATTATTAGACAGTTCTACTCCCTTAGATTTTTGCTATGCCAATTGATACAGAGGAATTTGATTATCGGTAAAGATGTTACTACTTTGAAAAGATGATATAAATAGGATAATGATAAGGTTAAAAGATTAGAAGTGATTGGATTACTAATTTCTCTCACCTTTCTTTCCTGTCTTTGTTGTTTCCCGTTTTCCACCCTCCTTCACATTCCCTTCCCCTCTCCTATTTCTGAATCATGAATGAAGGTGATGATGATGGGACATCCGAAAATAGCAAGACTACTCATTGAGCATGGTGCGGAGCCTTCACTTCCTGACCCTTCAACTGGCACATGCCCAGCTCACGATGCCATTCGTGAAGGATTCGTAGACACACTTCTTGAACTTTTAAATGGAGGAGCAAGTCTATACAACCCAATGGACAATTTTGGTCAACGCCCTATCGATCTGGCCTCAGATGATGTTCTGGAACAGCTGAATCAACTAGGAATCCTAAATCTCCCTGAGATCCCTGATTAGTGATTTTCTATACCTGACAAACTACTTAGAACATGTCACTTTAAAATGAACCAGTGCAATATTGCCTGATAAAAATGGACTAGATAAAAACTTTGGTCAATAGGCGTTTCAACAGTTTACTCCTGTTAAAGTGACACTAAACTCAGGAGTTAAATCTTAAAAATGCATTCATGTACCTTAACTATTAACAAAAATGTATCTTATTTATGTATCACTCAGCTGTAGATCCTCAAATCATCTCTGAATTGGGGCTGACACATAAAAATCTGAATGCTATGTATCCTCATTTGTATTTATGAACTAACAAAGCCTTACTATAGACACTTGAGAGAGGAATAGATTAGACATGTGCGATTCATTTAGGAAAGATGGGGTATTCGGACAAATTTTCGTTATTCGGGATTCGGATGTATCCGAATCTCCGAATGACAGAAATTACGAATGAATGACAGTCTGTAGAAGAGGGGGGGGAAAAAGCGTGAGGTTTGGCCATGACTGTATAATCGTGTGTGTGTGTTTTTGGGTGCACATCCTAATACAATAGGCTGTGCACACACCTATGAGTGGGGGTGTTAAGAAGGGTTGGGTGTGTACTGACGCATGCCTATTATTGGATGCATGGAAGTAGAAGGCCCGGGGCAGTGAAGGATGTGATGTTACTGTCATGCATAAAAGTGGAAATACTGCATAAAAGATTTCACTGATGAGTGGTTCTGCAAGCTATCAGATAACAGTATATGTCATCTATGTCATAACAAGCACTGGGTTGGCACTACATATGCCATAATAAACCAAACTAAAAGAAAAGAGGTCACTGGATCAAAAACCAATACAAAACCTTTATTGCACAGAAATCACAATAGTCCCAAAAATACCCAAATACCTCCCTCAGTAGGAAAAACAACATTATTATACACAATGGGGGGAATTTATCAAAACTGGAGCAGCTGTGCATGACAACCAATCAACTTCTCTCTTCAGTTTGTTCAGTTAAGATTTGAAAATGAAACAGAGATGCTGATTGGTTGCCGTGCACAGCTGCTCCAGTTTTTGTCTGCTCCAGTTTTGATCAATTCCCCCCAATGTATTCTGTTCGTGAATATGCTGCATCAGTCCCCTGCCTAGAAAAGTAGCTGGATGGTTAAAAGTAACAAGATGAACAGTTACAAAGTCTCCAAAGTCTCTGAAAATATGCATATAATCTATACTAGCAGCGCCGCCGACTTCAGTGGTGGATCCGGGGAGGAGGAGGAGGAGGGGGGGATTTGTATGGGGCAAATGCCCGCCCGCAGATACAGCCGCTCTCTGCCTCTGGTGCACTGGTGACAGAGTACATCCCTGCACAGCCACTGCCGGGACATACAGCTGTCATGTTAAATCCTGATCCATAGTACATAACATGTAGTTGTACTATGGATCATTTAAAGTCAACTGTCCCTTTAAGAAAAAGTATCGGTAATTGGTATCGGCAAGTACATGCGGGGATGTACTTGTACTTGGTCCTGAAAAAGTGGAATCGGGACATCCCTAGTCTATACCCACTAGTTCAGTTTTCTGTAAAACAACAGCAGGAGCGATGAGACAGCAGGAAACTCTGTGTGAATATACACTGGCACAGTCACGTGGCTCAGTAATATCAATGGGTAGCAGTGGCGTAGCAGTTGTAAAACTCACAGTCAGTAAAACTGCTGACAGTCATTTTGGTGTCACCCCCTCTGAAAGTTGAGCACTTAGTCAATGACCGAGAGCCTGACAGTTGCTCGAGAAAGGAGAGGACCCAGCGGCAAACCTTATCCTGCCGTCTGAACGTCCCTTCCTCTCTCTGCCGGCATCCATCACCAAGATGGCTGCTGGGAAGTAACAGCAGTACCACCCCACCTCCTCTTGCATAAAGCAATTCATCTTCAGTTGTTGACATGCACAAATAAACAATACAGCGAATGAAGGACACATAGAAACCGAGGAGACCCACCCGATTCCCTGCTACATGAAGTCTTCACTGGCTCCTGTACATGTTATATCAGCATGTTATGAATGTCAGTACAAGAAAGGCACTGGAAGAACCTGGGAGGGAAGTAAGCCGATCCACAGATTTACTGTGGATTACTTCACCAGCTCTTGAGCATGAAAAGTTCATCTATCCATGGATCCTGAGCACAAGCCTCCATCGGCAGCTTATAAAGCTTAAAAAGCTCCTCAGACTCTGACTACGTGACAGAATTAGAAGGACCTGGCTCACACTCCAAACCTCCTCTTCCACCTCATGCTCCATCCACTTGCTTATTGTCTTATTTATTCTGGAATTTATCCAGTTTATAAAAACACTGACATTATGGTAGTCAGTGGTGTATTCTGGTTTAGGGCTCCCCTAGGCAAGGCAAAACCCGGACGCCACCCACACAAAATTTCCCCCAGCCCTTCCTGCGTAACCTGTCAGTCTCAGGATACTGTATCCAGCTTTTGACATGTTCCGCTATTAGCGTAGCAGGAAAGCTGTGGTCTCAGGAGGGCTAAGCAAGATCTGTGGTGGGCTCTGCAGGGTCTCAGGGTGGTTTTACAGGATCTGTGGTGAGCTCTGCAAGGTCTATAGTGGGCAGAGCCCACCACAGATCCTGCACAGCTCCCCTGCACAGCCCCCCACAGATCCTGCACAGCCCCCCTGAGGCCCTGCCCCCCTGAGGCCCTGCAGTCTGTGGTGGGCTTTTCAGGCTGCAGAGCCCCCTATGGATCCTGCAAAGCCCCCACAGATCCTGCAGAGACCCCCAGAGACCCTGCAGTCTGCCAGATCTCGTTGCTTCTCTGCCCGACTGGAGCCTCGGTGACGCCTCCCGCCTCCATCTCCGTATCTACCCCTACCTCCTCCATTGCAGTCTTCGGGCCTCCTCCATCCTCACTCCGCCTCTTCGATCTCCGCCCCCATCTCCTGCCTCTGACTCCTGCCGCTCCGTTCCCCGTATCCTCTGCTCTCCCGCCCACCGCTTCTTACCCGTTCACATTAGGCAGCCAGGCTGCCAGTTTTTGTGCAGCTCGTCTGCCTAAATGTTTTGGGGGGCGGCATCTTTGCCACCCCCTGGAATCTGCCGCCCGAGGCAAACACCATGTTTGCCTCGCAGCAGATACGCCCCTGATGGCAGTGTGGTGAAGTTATTTACAAATATGACGAACAAAAAAAAAAAAATGTTTGCATATGAATAGTAAAAGAAATGAGGCACCCCCCAGCAAATTTGAGAAGGAAAGAGTTAATTAATTATAGACATCATCTTGAATAGCCATGCCAAGGGTTAATTGTTTGTCAACTCTAGCACGGTGGGTGCTTTTTGGTGAGACTTTAGATGTTCTCTAAATATGATTAAAACCCCCAGAGAATATTGTTTAAGAGTGCTGAGATTATGGAATTACCAAACATAATCAGATGACTGGGTAAACACGTCCAGCAGTGGGCGTCGCTGGTTAAGGTAGCTGTCGGCCATATCAATGATGTTGTTACAGTTCAGCTGCGTTCAGCTGAGCTGTCACTTGAAGTTCCACAAGTATATGCAGACCTGTTAACCCTGGTTCTGCAGGCATACAGGGCTGTGCTGTTGCTTGTAGTCTACCAGGCATGTGCTCTCTTCCTAACTTGCTCTTGCACTAGTCTGGCAGCTTTAGGCATTGGCCGACCTCTTCTGCTGATTCTTAAACAGCTTCCCAACCAATTAGTGTGGTCAGCCTGTGGCCAATTAGTGTGGTCAGCTTGTGGCCAATCATGTGGTTGCTCCCTCTTGCTTAATCTATTTAAACCCAGTGCAGTGGCATGCATCCAGAGCAATGTTTTTCCTAAGCTTGATGTCAAGGCCCTTGTTTGAGGTTGAAGCTGAATTCCTTGATGTTTATCTGTCTACCCTGACCTTTGGCTTGTCCCTGGAAATCCCATTCTTCAGTCTGTCCCTGACCTTTGATTTGTCCCCCCTATCGGTGTCTGCAACCTGTCCAGAACGCTGGCCTTGTTAACCATTGTCGGCTGTTAGCTGAGTTGGGTGAATCTGGGAGTCGTGACCTGGGGTCAGCACGCAACAAAATCCATCTCCACATTCAGGAAATCTGGGGAAGACCAGCTGGCCCTTGGACCCCACGCCCTGGGGTACCCCACGCTACCTACTCACTGGAGATCAGTGTCCCTGGTTAGCTGGTAACTGATCACGGTTAGCTGATCACGGCTGACTCCGCCCAGCTGTCAGAAGCAGGCTGTCGGCCGGCCAATGGCTCGGCCAGCTTCGGCTTTCACCTCAGCTCAGTCGAGCTGAAGCATATGCCTTTGGGTCAACTAAGCCGCCCGGCCGACTTCGGGAGCTGTACGGGCTATATTGAATAGCCCGTACAGCAGCCCTTCGGTTCTACCGAACCGAAGGGGTCCTGAGGCCAAAGCTAGCCGAAGGATCGGCCGAAGCTACGGCTAGATCCTTCAGCTGCTTCATGAATAGACCCCGAAATGTTTTCAAATAGTATATTTAACAGACCTACATAAACCAGTTAAGAGAAGTTCATTACTATGTTTTACATACAATTTAGTTATACACTTTAATTCATCTCTGGACCAGAGAAAAAGTTGAAGGGTGTGGCCGTTAGTGAAGAGTTATGCTATGAGTCAATATAAACCAACTTTCTGTCCAGCCAGTTTAATGAGTTTTTTAATACTATGTAACTATTCCACGCTGTATAGATGTAAGTAAGTCAATTGATGTACGTGCCAAATAAAGAAAAAACAAAAAGCAAAGAAACAAACGTCTGCTGCCATGCTAACCACACTGTGTAAAAAATCTCTCAAACTCCTGTATCGCGCTGAACTCTATAATAGTAACAACTCAAACATAGTGTCTAAATAAAGTAAATCCAACTGTGCTCAGACGAAAGTGTATTTGTATTTCACATTCTAATAAAAGTGCCCACAACTTCCATGAGGTATAGTATTTCAGTGATCAATCTCCTCCGATATTTTATGGGAAATAGATGCACTCACCAGAAGTTTCTGCT